GGGGAAATTTCCCCCTTTTTTTTTTTTTTCTCTGAAGCCACCCAGGCAGCAGCTGCCGCTCTGTGGGAAGGTTGTGGTTGGCTTTGGAAAGGTCGTGTAGCTCAATACCCAGACATCGCTGCCGGGGAAGCCCAGTGAGCTTTAAAGGAAAGCCGGGTTTAATGCAAAGCTGGGTTTAAATCAAAGCTGGGTTTAATACAAAGCTGGGTTTAATGAGTTGGTGGCTTGTGACAGCATGAGCTTGAGCCTAGGGGGAAGTTGTCGTGCTTGGTGAGAGCTGCTGGTCCCTGTTCCTGGCTGGTGGGAGGAGGGGGTCCCACGACCGTCCACGCACGCTGCTGGGAAGGGGGAAAACTGTTTTCCCAAATTCCTGTGACTCTGTAAAGCCCGAATGTTTGCACTCTGGTAGCACAGCTGAAAAGCAAAACCTGTTGTTGTAAGGGATGTTTTGCAAACACCCGATAGCGCTGTGAGTCACAAGGGCACAGTGGGACAACCAGGGCAGGGCCAGATCCTGAGACATTCACCCTGTTTTCCAAAACCCGGGAGGTCGTCGGCAGGGTTAGCATCGCCCTCTCCTCGGGAGGTGCATCAGCACAGCCACGCTCCCGACTCCCCGCTCCTGGCCCGTGTCTCCATTCCCGCAGTTAAACTTCCTCTTTTTTTTAAAAAAAAAAAAAAAAAAAAAATTCCTCTTTTTTTAAAAAAAAAAAAAAAAAAAAAATTATTTGCTCCTGACATCTAGCGGCACATCCCCGCAGAGGCGCTGAGTCACTCGCGCCCCAGCGCCTGAGCCACTGCAGAACATTTTTTGGAGGCATCACAAAGGTCCATCCACCTCGGGCAGAGCCGCCGAGGGCGCTTTAGGGGCTGCGGGCAAATCGTGACGGCTGCAGCATCACCCTCGGGCCCCGACCAGAGGATCTGCAAAGTCTGAGAGCAAATTGCAGAGTCGGCGGCTGGTTTTTTCCTGCCTTCACCGGCTTCGCTGCCTTCCCGCGAGCCCGGCATGCCCCGGCCCGCTCCTCACCATCAGCCCGAATAAAACCTTTGCTTTGACGAGTGTTGCACTCACGGCTGTGCCTTTTGGCGGTTGCATGTGAATTTAGCATTTTTATTCCTTTTTTTTTTGGTAGTTCTGAAGGGACCCCAGACCTTCGCCTGGAAGGAGCCGATGCGATGGAAGGAGATCAGCCCCCTCTGACTGCAGGTGAGCGCCCCGGGACAGCTTTGTCCCCTACAAGACCTTGCCCGGGGCCACCACCTGCCCCACCCAGCTAAGCCTGGCTCAGAGCTGGGTCAGGACCAGCCTCGCTCACCTCCTCTCTCCTTCTCTCCTGGGTTGATGAAGGAGAGCTGACAACCCCCTTCCTGAAGAAGGCTCACACCCCACCGCTCCATGAGGACGCCAACACTGTGGTCATCGCAGGTAGGGGCTCTCCTCGCCGGAGCCACCCCGGCTACCGAGGAGCAGCTCGGTCCTGGCCACTCAGGGCTAAACCCTGCTCCTCTCTCCCCGGCAGTTGTCATCACCCTGGTGTTCCTCACGCTGCTGACAGTGCTGGTGGTGATCATCATCTACCTGTACAGAAACAAGGGCAGCTACCTCACCTACGAGCAGCCGGCGGCAGAGACCGACATGTCGGTGCAGATGGAGGATGCTCCATCCAAGGAGAAAGAAGAATATTTTATCTAAGCCACCAGGCCCAGACACACCTCTCTGGTGCACTCAAGTCCAAGGTGCCTAAATTTCCTGGAGTTGGGAACCTACAAGCTGCTTCTTTTTTTTTTTTCCTTAATTTATTAAGCCAACCACAGAAGGAAAAATAAAAAAAAGTGCGTGGCAGAACTTTGCCCGTGGCAGAGCCAGGGCAGGGGGTACTGCAGCAGGAGTGGAACAGGCACGGCCACACTCCAGCTGCTCGCACCCACCCAGCTCCTCCCTTTGGTGCTTTCTAATACAGCCCAGTGCAAAACGCTCCAAGAGTGGCTCTTTTCTTTCTCCTTGTCTCACACAATTAAGTTATTCTGTCAATGATTTAGGGGTGGGGTAATTAGCATGGCTAATTTGGAGGCTCCACTTAAGCACGCACCTAAAACAGGCTGATGGGTCACGCGAGTGGCAGAAAGCCCCATGGTAGCCCCCAAAGGTGGGAAGCTGGTCCCGGCACCAAGAGGCGCCTGAGCTCGGGGGGCTCGGGGAAAGGGGCGGCGGAGCAGGTTTCCTTCCTCAGCAGAGGTGGCTCTGGCACCCCCACACCGGCCCAGACACTGCCTCTGCTCTGCACAAAGACGGGGCGAGGAGCAGTTCCAGACATTGCCCCTCCACTCCCTTCTCAAGGGCAGTTCCTCCTTTAAATCAAACCCCCCAAAAAAACCCAAAATCCAGAACACCAAACGCAAAACAAAGGAGGAAGTTTACAAAATAGCAGCAAAGAGGAAATAAGTGAAGAAACCCTACGGCTTGCAATGGGCAGGAGCCAAGGGGTTTTATTTGAGGTCTAATGCAAATTTGCTACTTTATTCAAATTTTCAAAATAGTCTTTATTCTACTTTTTTTTTTAGTATAAAAAAATCCACAAGTTAAGTGCACCACAGTGTATACAGAGAGAGACGTAATGCTGAACTTTCATAACAGTCAGTTGGATGGTTAAACACAACATATACAAGACACAGATTTAGATTAAACTGAAACCTCAAGATAAAATATATTTGAATCTGAGATAATTTTCTTCATAAAACAAAACAAAAAAACCCAAAACATTGAGGATCCCTGAAATATTCTTCTTAACTCTAATAAGACTTCATTACACCCAAGTCATTTTTAAAGTATGCATTCATAAAACAACCCATTAACCAAGTTAATTTGTGTGTTGATTGACAGTTGCTACACACCCTTGGACAGATGGTAACCAGCCTCTCTGTTTGAACAACAGCCTTAAGGAGTTTTGGTGTCAAGACACCAGGTTGAGTTTAAAAAAAAAAAGGAGTTTGTTTATTAAGCGTCATTCTAAAAGCTTAGTTAGCATTGAATGAAATGTTCAAACATGAGTTGCATTGTGTTTCTGGCACCAAAGCATGGCTTTGATTAGATCTAATGTGCAAAGAAATCCAAGATTTCTTGGAGTGTATAAAAAAAATCCCATGATACACGCCAGCTGCAAACCTTCCTGGAGGAAACCGAGGGGCGAATGTGAGCATGGGGGTGCCCTCCCCACCGCTGGGAAGGGAAGTTTTGCTTTGCTTTTCTATCCAGCGCCTCGCCTGGACGGAAGGGAAACGCGGGTGGTTGGGCTCTGGGTCCAGGGGACCGGTACGAGCGCCGAGGGACGGCGAACACGGCCCCGCTGCCCGGCCCCCCCAAGCCGGCGGACAGGGAGCCCGTTAATAAAGCTCAGCGCTGCGGTGTTACTCCGGCGAAATGAAAGGAAGAAGCAGGGCTGCTGCGCTCACATTCATTTCGGGAATTAATTCCCCCCCTCCCCGCCCGAACAGAGGCGCCGCTCTCACTAACAGGGTTTCTTGTTTCGCTTGGAAGCGCCTGCGGGGCCGGGCACCGCACCAGGAAGACACCTCACCGCTGTGTGTCTGATCTGCAACTTCAGGTTAATATGGACTAAAGCAGTTACATCGTGAGAAGTGCTGACAGTATGTGATGTCTTTCCTTACACAAATGTAGCCCCCCCCCTCTCCCCCCTTCCCCC